AAAATTTATGGATCTGTCTCTCAATAGCTTCGGTATTGTAAGTATGTTTTCATTTCACGTGTTTCTATCTGATTTAGTTGACATTAGGGAAGCTTCAATATTTTAATTACTCAAAATATTAAATTGTCATTGAATGTGTAATTACTGTTCTTTCTAGATTATGCGAACATCGTTCGCATATTTGAATATATTACGGACAACTAGCATTTAAGGCTGTAGTTCCTTAAACAAAATAAATAAACTTTATTCGTAGGATATCTAGACTGAAGGTCTAGATGCAAATAGCGCTGTTTAAATAATAAATCAATGTATAAATAAGTATAAAAATTTGCAAATTATTTTGTTATTCTGTTTTTATATTAGAAAATGAACGTAAATTTATCTTTGTATTTGTATACTTTTTTATGTTTATACGATTGTTATATGTCTTATAAAATCTATGATGATACGAGATACTTTTAGCGTAATACGTTTCATTTTTGTTAATAATATGTACACGTAAAAAGATATCGTGCACATAACCATAAGGATTTAACAGTGAACAGCATGGTTGCATCCTAATTATCTTTGTGTGATAATAATGTGTATTGTTGATATGACTCAGTTAACTTTGATACACCAACTACATCAATATAGTTACGCATAATTTGATTATGGCAACCAGAAATCGGTATGGTGACATTTATCACGGATACACTCAGATTGGAACAACCAGATATCATCACTGCTGCAACGCCAGTAATTATTTTGTAGCAATCACGTAATTAATTATTCCGTATTTTACTATTGAATCTGGTTGATACAACCAGATTTATATGTGAGTTATAGATTAATCATAATGTTTTTTCTGTATAGCATTTGATTTACATAACATTCTGTCTATAAAATCACACAACACAAAGTACACTAGACATGACCACACGTATTCACATAGATCGTAGATTTCAATTTTAGACGCTCCCGCACGATGCCACGATCCTTCTCCTTGCACGTCACCGACACTAAGAATTTATCGTAGACAATACGGTATGTCGAATTGACAACCCCTTTCGTGTATGCCCTGTTATTACGCGCAATCGTTTTATGCACGCAAGCGCACCGCACAACACTATACTTTAGCCCACCTATTATCATATACATCTGTTCAGTCATGCTCGTGCTTCTACTACCACTCGATTATTTGCCATCCTTAAACTCGAAATGCGGGAACTCCGTTAACGAAAATAATAGAAATCCTAATAAAATAAAAAAACAAAAAGCGAGCCAAACGCAAAGTTCGCGATCAATTTACGTAGTCACGCATAGAATCTCGATCTAGAAAAAGTTAAGATCGCATAATGAATCGAAGCGCTAAACACTCGTCGACAGCGACCTGGGTGAGCAGACAGGAGAATGACTTAAACTACGCGATACAAGTGACCCGTGTCATTCTTCGAATAATCGGCCTGTGGCCAATTTCCAAAGTTGCTTCTAACGCGGAAAAAATTGTAATTCGCGTACTGAATGTCTCGTGTTACCTACTATTCGCGTTCATCCTGGTGCCGGGTTTGCTGCTGATATTCTTAAAGGAACGTGACATGAGGCGGAGGGTAAGACTGTTGGGTCCACTTCTAAACTGTTGGATAGGTTGCGTGAAATACAGTCTACTCGTGTACAATGCGAAGGAGATCCAAACCTGTTTGCAACAGATGCGAAAAGATTGGCAGAATATAACCGATTGGGACGATCGTAAAGTTATGTTGTCCAAGGCAAAAGTAGGCCGGAAGCTTGTGATTCTCTCCGCCGCCTTCATGTATATCGGTGGATTATCTTACCGTACGCTCGTGCCGCTCTCGAAAGGACGAATGCTGACGCCGATGAACACCACGGTGAGAGCGCTGGCCTGTCCGAGCTACTTCCTCAAATTCGACGAGCAGGCCTCGCCGGCATACGAGATCGTCTTCACCCTGCAATTTTTCGCAGGACTGGTTACCTATTCTGTGACATGCGGCGTAGCCG